GACTGGCAGCAGCAGGGCTTGCAACAGCTGGATTCACAGCAGCAAGGCTTACAGCAGCTGGACTGACAGCAACTGGGCTTGCAGCAGCTGGACTGACAGCAGCTGGACTGACAACAGCAAGGTTTGCAGCAGGACTGTCCACAGCCGCCTTTAGATCCCCCACAGGAGCCACAGCCTCCCTTGCTGCCCCCACAGGAGCCACAGCCTCCCTTGCTGCCCCCACAGGAGCCACAGCTGGAGCAGGAGCAGGCTGGCACACAGCAGCACACGGGCTTGCAGCAGCACACGGGCACACAGCAGCTGGAGCCACAGCCCCCACAGCTGGAGCCGCAGCCCCCACAGCTGGAGCCGCAGCCCCCACAGCTGGAGCCGCAGCCCCCACAGCTGGAGCCGCAGCCCCCACAGCCTCCGGAACAGCCACAGCAGCTCATGATTCAGGTGAGTTGAGGATGAGTTTGGTCAGAGGAGCAGGTAGACAGAGAGTGTGATCAGATGTGGAGCCTCCTGTGCCAGGAGCCCTTATATACCTGTCAAGAGGTCCCTGTGATCTCTAACCAGTTTCCTCCTTCCTGCTTAAGCCCTTTCTCTTGAGTCATGAGGTGTGTGTGTTCCTCTGTTTCCAAAGCCTGCCATTGGCTGTACATCCCCTTCCTCAGGAATCTAAATTTAGCCTCTTCCAAAACATGTGTTTGTATTATTAGTAACACATTTCTGGTTTCTTAAATTTTCTGAGGATGGGGCACCTGTCAGTTGTTAAGCTTGTGTTATTTTCTTCCTCACTTAAAGCAAAAAGTTAGGCTCCTCCTTACAGCCAGGCAGGTGCGCTGGCCCAAGTGTCTGCTCGGTCCATGAGAACCAGTCAGCCTGACGTGGAGGGAGAGGTGACTGCTCAGTGCTGATGCCTAGAATCTCTGCCTTTTTAGACTACTTAACATAGTCTCTATTTTAAAATTAGCTTTTAGGGTCACTTTATCATTAACTTGTAATTTTGAACTAATTTCTATTTCCTATGAGTGTAAGTCCAATCTTTTCAGTCACTTGCTCTGCATCTGAGAGCTGGACAATGAAAGGATGACAGAAGAATTGGCGCCTTTGAGCTGTGATGTTGAAGAGCACTGAGCATCCCATGGCGGCCAGGAGAACAAACAGACAAGTCTTGGAGAGGGTGCGGCCGGAGTGCTCCTTGGAGGCAGGGGGGTCGTTCACATACTCTGGACTTGTTGCTCGGAGAGGTTAGTCCCTGGACAGGGATATCCTGCTTGGAAAGGTGGAGGGTCAGTGAAAGGGAGGGAGACCCTCGACCAGATGGATTGACACCATGACTGCCTCCGCCATGACTGGGCCTGACCGTGTGAGATTGTGAGGACAGCACAGGACAGGACAGGCTTCAGATGCACTGCCCTCAGGATAGACGGCATCTCCTCCCCGTGATGCACAGCCTTGGGAAAGCCAGGCTCTGCTATGAGTCAGGTCCAGGTTGACACTCGTTCACGACAAAGCCTGCTTCATAACTGCTGTGTTGTTGATAAGTGCAGCCCAGGATGACTCAGGAGACCCCGTGAACGACGGAGCTGAGCTCTGTCTTGATCCTGCGCCATCCTTATCCTCCTCTGCACATTTCAGTCCGTTGTCGAAGATGCCGCATCGATCCGTTTCATTGAAGGTGTTCCTGTCCTTCACTGGCCTCAGCCTCTCCAAGCGTGAGGGCCTAGCTTCTCCTGACAACAAGTCCAAAATACGTGAGATGAAGCTGCACCAACGAAGGAACATTCTGGTTGTACTTTCTCCAACACATACCTGGTGGGTTATTTTTTGTTGTTTGTTTGTTGTTATTTTTTTGCAGTACAGCACTCTTCTCCAACACCACAGCTCAAATGCGTTGATTCTGCTTCTGTTGTCCTTATTCACTGTCCAGCTGCCAGATGCATAGCAGGTGATGGGAAAGGCTGTGGCTTGGATCAAGCTGTATCCGGTCTTATCCTGTTATTGACATGTTGTGCACTGTTGAGTTGGAACCAACCCATAGCTGACCCTCCAGCGGGTTTTCAGAAGCAGTTAATCGCATGGGAGGAGACTGCCTCTCCTTCTCCCACAGAGCAGCTGGTGGATTTGAACCATGTGCCTTCAGCATTGCAATGCAGCTTTCTTACCAGTAGGCCGCTAGAGAAATAAACATTACAAACGGCTGAGGTAACCTGACTACTTCCTACATAGGGTCGCCAAGAAAATGCCTCCAGTGCCCTGTTTAAGCTTGGCTTCTCCCTCCTGTGAAGACTAGCAGAACAGTAGTCTAGGGTTAAAAAAGAGGTTTATTAGAGAAAATGCTGTGCAAAGGGGGGACATACGGAGGGACAAGGTTCCATCAACCATGGAACAAAGGCAGTCAAGTTCCTCCTAACAGCACTGGAGGTAGAGAGAGGACGTGGGTTTTGTTCATGGAGGGTTGGGCTTTAAGTGTCAACCTGCAAAGAGGAAAAGATTGTCGTGTGTCAACATGGCAGGAGGAGGGGCTCCTCGGGGATTGGTCCATGTGGAGGGAGGCGGAAATGTGCACTTCTGTTCACATGGCGGCCACCGGAGTCCTTTTTGAGTTTTATGGGGGCATGCGCAGATGGCCAAAATGGCTGTGAGAGTGCTTGCTTTGCATGTTGTTAAAGATGGTCAGTCTTCTCCAGGTGAGGTGCTTGGTCATCACGGAACATGCCCTTCCGAGGTGCTTTCCAGGAGGTCACGCAGGAGTCCCTCATGGGCCCCTGAAAGTGCTTTGTTATTGTTGTTGTTCTGTGCCACTGAGTCACCTGTGACCCATAGTGACCCTATGCACAGTAGCTCTGAACCCTGCCCTGTCCTGAGCCAACCTCTCTCTCCAACATGTCTAACTCCATTACCCCAGATGCTGTGTCAATCCATCTCCTCCAAGGTCTCCCTCTCCTGTGCTGTCCCTCCACTCTTCCAAGCATGAAGTCCTTCTCCAAGGACTGGTCCCTCTTGGCCACATGCCCAAAGTATGTGAGACGATGGAACTTCAGAATCCCTGGCTCCAAGGAGCAGCCTGATTTCACCCTCTCCATGATAAACCTGTTTGTTCTCTTGACAGTCCACAGGATGTTCAATACTCTTGTCCAGCACCACGACTCAGAGGCATTCATTCTTTGTCTGTCATCACTAGTCATTGTCCACCTCTCAGATGCACAGCAAGTAATTGTAAAGACCATGGCCTGGATCAGGTGCACTTTAGTTTCTAGACTGACATCGTTGCACTTCAACACTCTGGAGAGGTTGCCGACAGCAGATTTTCCTAATTCGTCTTTCAGTTGCCTCACTGCTGGTGCCAAGATGTTGATTATGGAGCTGGGCAAACTGAAATTGCTAATAACCTCAATCTCTTCTTTATATATCATGGTGATGCCAGTTGACCTAGTGGTGAGAATCTTTGTTTTCTTGATGTTGAACTTCAATCCATATAGGAGGCTGCAGTCCTTGACCTTCTGTAGCAAGCGCTTCAGGTCCTCCTCAGTTTCAGCAAGCAAGGTTGTGTCATCTGCATAACATAAGTTGTTGATAACACTTCCTCCAAACCTGATGCCACATCCTCATGAAGTCTAGACTCTCGAATGATCTGTTACACACACAGATTGAACAATTATGGAGACAGGACTCCTTTCCTGATTTTGAAATGTGCGGTGTTTCCTTGCTGTTTTCTGGTGAGGGCCTCCTGGTCCAAGGACAGTGAGTAGCAGGGTTAAAAGTTAAGCGGAAACACCTGGAGGAGTCTGAATCTCAGCTGCTGGTCTAAGGTGTGTTTCCTTCTGCAAATATCAATTGATTGTTGGCTTTTCTGATCAGAACCATCTCTAGGGGAAATAATTCCACAAATCACATGGCAGGAAAGGAGATGGAGAAATAAGGAAGTCTTGGATTCAGAGCAAACCTGGCAGGAACCTGGTAAAATTGAAAACAATTAATCTGTCCCTTCTTGTGTCTGGAATGATGGGACCTTCCACGCCTGAACTTATTCGCAAAAGGGAAGGCAAGTGGTCTGAAGTTCCTCAAGCCACTCAGGCATTTCTCTTTCTTTGTGAAAATCCCCAATTTTTTGAGTCTTGTGTGGAACCCAGCCTTTTGGACCCGCTCTCCGACAGCGCAAATGAGAGAAGGGAAGCCAACGTCCTGGGAAGGGCCCTTCTTCATGTTGTACTTTGCTGAGCACAGCTGCAAAGCCTCCAAGGACCCTCCACCTTCCCAAGTAATTGTGAGCCCTCAAACTCCTACTGCCTCACCTCTCAATCTCTGCTAATTACCTTGCGTGAAGTAACCCAATCAAACAGTGGGACGACCTGGATCCAGGTGCCTTCCAGCATGTGTGAGTTAAAGCCTTGTTAAGAAAAAGATTGGAGGGAGCTCTGGTGGCCCTGGGACAAAAAGCTGCACTGCAATCCCAGAGGTGTGTGGTTCGAATCCACCAGATGCTCTGCTGGAGAAGGAGGGGCAATCTCCTCCTGTACCAGTCAGATCCAATTTGACAGTACACACACACACCCCAGTTGGAAACTTCTTCACAAGTTTGAGTGTATGGTGGTGGTGGTGGTAGTTAGGTGTCGTTGAGTATGACTGTGAACACCAGACGTGACCCCTGTCTGTCCTCCTCATCTCTGACCCACCTGAGCCCATCGCTGTGATCACCATGCCAGCTCATCTCATCAAGGGTCTTCCTCTCTTCTGCCAACTCTCCATATTTACAGGCACGATGCCTCTTTCCAAGGAGTGGACCCTCCAAGCAAGACGTCCATAGTCTGAGAGATGGAGCTCCATAATCCTGCCTCCAGGGAGCAATCTGGCTGCCCTTGCCCCCAGGACATAGCTCTTTGTTCTTTCGGCAAGAAACTCAGTGCTCTTCTCCAAGATCACACAACTCAAAGCATCGTTCTTAAGGAAACTTACTGCATTGGGCAAGTCTGCTATCAGGGACTTCTCCAAAATACTTAAGAGCAATAATGTAGATTTGAAGACTAAGGTGCGCCTGATTCAGGCCATGGTCTTTTCAATCACCTACTATGCACCTGAGAACTGGATAGTTAAAGATGATAGAAGAACTAATGCCTTTGTGTTGTGAGTGTAGTTGTTGTTGTTGTTATGTGCCATCGAGTTGCTTGCGACTCATAGCAACCCTATGTACAACAGCCCTAAACTCTTCTCTGTCCTATGCCAATCGCACTGTCTCTGATACTCCCATCCCGATTACCCCCGTCGCTGAATCAATCCACCTTATAGAGGGCCTTCCCCTCCTGCGCTGTCCCTCCACCCTCCCCAGCATGATGTCCCTCTCCAAGGACCTGTCCCTCCTTACAACATGTGCAAAGTATGTTAGGCGGAGCCTCAGAATCCTTGCCTCCAAGGTGCTGCCCGGTTTAACCCTTTCCAGGACGAATCT